TCCTATTTGTTACAGTGAGTTATTCTCACTTTTGAACCCCAAACATTGCAGCATCTCAGAAGGCAGTCATAAATGTCTTTTTCTTTCTGTCTATACCCACTCCTTTGATGATTGTATTTAATTTCATTGTTGTAAATATCATGAATGTATTAATGACTGCCAATTTTTATCTTTAGCTCAGATATCTTCACTGAATTCCAGATTCATATATGAATTTACAACTCAAAATCTCAAACCTTACCTATCCAAATGTAAGCTCCTGACATGCCTTCAAAAACATGTTTCTCTTATACTATTTACCCCAATAAAAGCTGTTCCTCTCTACCATCTGCTCCAGAAAAATCATGGGATTGTCCTTGACTTACTCCTGTATCATGATTTCCCATTTAGTCAATCAATCACCAGAATCTAAATGTTCTCCTCATGCCCATGACTACATAGTTTGTCCACACTTCCACATTACTTATCCAGATCAAAGCACTAACTCCCTAAGGAACCTTCCTCCTTCTGTCTACCCTCCCCATTCCACCCTGATCTGTCCTCAAACCACAGATAGAGGGTTCTTTTGAAATGTAAGTCAAAGTATTTGCTCCACTGCCCAAATCTGCAAATGTTTTCCATTTCATTCAGAGTGAATGTCCATACCTGACAGGTGCATGGCTTATCACTGCCTCCTACCACCATGCCAGGATCTTCTTTCTAATATAATATTCATGTTTTATTTTTCAAAGGTGCCAGTGGGAATGCTCCTGCCTCAGAGTCGCTGTTCCAGCTGCAGAGAATGCTTGTTCCCTGATGCTGGTATAACAGATTCCCTCATACTGTAAGGGTTATTCAAGTAGAGTCTTATTCCTTCCCTGAGTACCCTTTCCGAGATCTCAGCTACCCCCAACTTCCTATTCATAACTTTCTCTCTTCTATAATATTTCATATTTCATATATATTTTACCAATTGATTTTATTTTCCATCTGTCTCACCAAAATGTATTTTCCCTGAAAGCAGGAATTATTCTTTATGTTCACTACTGCTCTTATCAGAACTATTTATGGTGTTGTAAAAAAGATGAAAACTAGAACTTATGTCCAGCAAATAGTTTTGAATGAATGAATTTTGAACAGAGTCTTAATTAAACAGGTATTCAATAGTTTTAAACAAATGACTTGTTCATATTCTCCACTTTGTTCTGCATCTCATCATCTGTGAATCTCCCTTGAAGCACAGACCTTTGAGATACAGGGATAATTCCAAGTCATCCCACAAGACTGTGTGCTTGAAAATGAGAAACTTTTGATTATTTACAAAATATCTTGACACTGGGGTTGTATGAGCAATTGCTGTGGTGACCAGAGAAACGCTTTGCAAGATAATAACCTTCCCTTCACGAATTCAACCCAGGAATATTGTGAACCACAGTGAAGCACTCACATATTAGTTATATATTATGGAAGAATACAGCGTCAGGAGATCCCAAGAACCTTCTATAATTATTCTACAGGTAGAATGTGCTCTCCAGACCAAAGAATGAAGTTCATCAAGCAAAAATAACTCTCCCCATCACATAAGTTAGAAGAACCTATTCAACTTCACTTTTCTCATTTTCAGATAACCCAGAATAGACTTTCTTTGATAGAAAGGTGGGGGGAACCAAAAGGAATCTCTATCAACTTTAAAAAATATTTCTCAATGTATTTTAAAAATATTTTCATCAACTTTTCTGATTCCAGTGTAGATTACCACCTTGCCTCCTGCACTTAGCATCTAATATTGTCCACTATATTGCCAGTGCTAAATTCTGCTTTTTTTCCCATTAATTCTCCTGAAAAACTTGGAGAAGAGTTAAACTACATGTTAAAGGTGCTCTGTTACTAACAAATTATGAAGCTGCATAGACATGAGCACAGACCAGTGTTTGGCTAATAGTCATAGTGCTCATTGGATTCACCATGTTGTACCTGAAGGAAACCCTTATCCCTGCAACTCAGCATCCACCATCTGGTGTAGATCAGATATCTAGCCTCATTCTACTTCAGTCCACTGGCCCTAGGCATAGCCACAGTGAATGCTTTCTTAAGTGTATTTCAAGCAGTATGGAATTGAGTTTGCTTAAACTCTTCTTTTGCTGGAAAGTCTTCTCACCTTTATGTACAAAGTCTAGCTCAAATGCCACTTTCTAACCATAGCATTTGCTTTCTTCTTGCATCATTTATTTATGTACTTACTTATTTTTCATTCTGTTTTGTTTTGTTCATTTGTATACATGTTTTCATTACTGAATGGAAGACCCTTTGGGGTCTTTTTATTCCTATATCCTTAAACTTAAGGACATATATCAAGTGGTCAAGGGGTGACTATTTATTAATGGAGATATGATAGAAAAGATATCATTGGCCAAGTTTTCAGGACTTCAGTCACTTATTTTATATTCTTTGGATAGAGCACCATGTTGCTATCCATATGCTATTGTGCATCAAAACTTCTTTCCTTATTTCTATGCAATTGTTGTTTTGAGTAAAGGGCCTTATTCAGCAAGTGTCAGATTTCCTTCCTACTCTCTGGAGATTATGCTGACACAGTATCAACCTGTTTAATACTTCAGTTTGCAAATAACTGAGTTTGATATCCATCTCAAGAAAATATTGTGGGTAGGTATCAGAACTCAAGGTTTGTTCTGTTGAAGCCATCCTATCTACCCCTACCTCTTACATAATGAGAGGTTAGGGCCAAGGAATTAATTTCACCTACTTCCTTGTGACAATGATCTACAAGTTAGGCTATTGATGTGTAGAGCTAAATTTCCTTTGAAAGAGAATTATTTAGGGGAATTCCAACACCTAAGAGGTTAGACAAAATCAGTGGGACAAACTAAAATACCTGGTAGCTTAAATGGGGGCTGAAAACTCCAGGGGAGCACATGCTCCCTCCACAGGAAGCAGATGCTGCCCAAACACAGCTGGTGTGTGGATCCATATCTTGTTTGATAACAAACCCTCTGGTCCTCTTAAACAATGAGATATTTGAATTTTTACAAGAAATTCCAGGACATTGAGTACTTGCAACTAGTTTGATTTTATTTAACACTCAAGCACATTAAAAAACAAACACATTTACATGCTGTATTCACTTGTAGCTGCTGGACTGCAACCTCTGGATTAAATGAAGCCTTAAACTTGACCCTGCCAATAGATTCTATAATGTTGAATAAAAAATTAACTAGCATGAAAATTCTGAAACTATTGAACTGAATGATATCTGTTTAAAAGAATCCTGACACAGTATCAGCCAGCTTAATACTTCAGTTTGCAAATAACTGAGATATCAAACTCCAAATTAGCTGAATTAAATGAGGACACCACCACCTTTTGCCCATTTCCTATCCTACACCTAATGAATGGTTCCAAAATTTGGTTGAAACAAATATTTCACAAGAACAAAGTCAAATTCCCCTACTCTACAAGGTATAATGACATTACCACTAGAGATGCTAAGCAAAGTCAAAGGGCCAAAAACTTTGAAGTGAAAGGAATGTTATAGGACACCTGAGTACAATCTCCATAATGACACAGGTTAATGCTGCGGCTTTGGGATTCCCAGCACCATTCACTAATTGTCATGGTCAGTGGAAGAGTAAGAGACATGCATTTAACTTGTGATTCCAACAATCACATTTTGTTCATATCACTTCATCTTTTGGAACAAGTTTCTCTATTTTGTCTAAGGTCATTGATTGAACAATTTCTTCAGTATGCTTCTAGCTGGGAAGACAAGAAGAATATACAGAAGAATGCCAAAGACTATGTGGCATTGCCACCCAGTGCATTGTGGTGGGTCCACAGGGAAGAATATTATTATTAGCACTGCTATAACAAACCCAAACTGACAGATTCTCTCTTTCTCTCTCTAATCCTCTCTCTTTCTCTCTTACACACACACACACACACACACACACACACAGAGGAAACATTTCATTTCACAACTAAAAATGAGTTAACCTTTTGAGCACAAAGAAGAAAATGATAGTTCTAAAATTAGCATCTTAAAAAATAAACTACATAATCACTGAAGATGAGATTTTCTTAAAACTGTAGAACAATGAGATAAGATGATAACTGTCATAAGAGAGGAAATTGCAAGAGTCAGTTTGAAAGGATTTGGGGGTGTCCCCCCCCACACCATTAAGGTTTGCTTTTTCACATACCACAGAAAGACTGAAAAGCTCAAATGTTTCCCAAGGGCCTTGTGATCTGTGCTTTACAATGCTGCTGCTGACATTAGAAGAATGTCATTCAGCCCCAAATTAAAATCTGCTTATACAGAGATTTAAAGCATTTATCAGGCTCCACATAGTCATGTCTCTCCCATTTGCATATCATTTTTCAGTTTATAAGATCTTTTTACATACATGCTCTCATTTGTTGTTTCTGAAAACAGCCCTGTGTGACAGAGCCTATATATCATTATAAAGTCACTCTCAGGTGAATTAAAAACATATCCTTCTCAACCTGCATGTCAAGAAGTAATCACCTTTTGTTCACCACTTGAAAGTTCAGGGAGCCCTTTCACTTTGGGCTTTTCAGATTAAGGTGTGACCCTGCTGGGTAGTACAGCAGAGGAAGAGAGAAGGGGGATACAGACCTCTTGCTGGCCTTAATCTGCTGCTCAGACTTGAATCAGATCACATCAACTGACTAAGCCTCAGTTCACTGAATCACTAAATGGAGAAAATTATACCCATCCCACCCTGTTCACAAAGCAGTCAAGATCAAAGTCGATATATAGATCAGGTTGATAAAGTTGATATATAGATAAGGTCTACAAACCTCATCCACCCTGGCCAGTGAGGAAGAATAAAGGAATTTCACATGGTCATGCAAAACTATGAGCCTAGATCAAATTGTAAGTCCATGGTGGGGGTGGCCAGAGACTCAGCCTAAGCAATAGGAGCTATCAGCTCATAGAGAGACACCCCATCTCTATAAAATCAGCAGCTACCTAGTCTTACCTGGCTAGGCTGTGGCCAGTCCTCAAGGCTCTTCTTTCTTTACCTGGACAAAGGCAGGTAGACCACAAATATAGTGGCCACTGGAGGTATGGCTGGTTCAGATGAAGCCAAACAGGAGAGTCCCCAGTGCTAACAATCCAATCTGATCAGAAACTCACCTACCAAGTTGGCTGAGAGTTAAGTACTCACTCTCAAACAAAGGGTCAAATAAAAGGAAAGAAAACGTTTACAGGGTGGAACTTAACCTGTCAGAGGCAAGGAATTGGGTTTGTGGGTGGGAACTTTCTGGTTCTGCAATGACACACCTCTCCTGTCCTCTCCCTCAGGAAGTCCTGGGTTTTCTTGCCAACTTCCTCTTTGATTGACATCTGACTATGGTGAGCAGGAGTAGTCTTCCGTCCCTTCTTGCATTGCATCTATGTGTTCCCAAGGACAATAATAAAGCTCAAGTCTCAGGCCTACATTCCTATTAATAATATTCTTCATGATGATTTGATTTATTGGATATTGGTGATTTTTAAACATCACCATCACTTTTATATCATATATGTAGAAGACATGTATATCAGTATGTGAGAACAGACACATGTACACATGGAATGACTTTTCAGGCTTCCTATTGGAGAATTTGTCATGTGACATTGTTTTACAGGTGCGTGTGTGTGTGTGTGTGTGTGTGTTTTCTCCTCACACAATTGTGAGCCCTCAAAGGTAATAACTACATTTTCTTCTTCAATACATTCTCCACAATTTCTTGCAGTTGGCAAGTAACAAAGCAGAACAAATGCTGTAATACTCTAAAAGGGAGAAATTCCAGGGAGGCTTCCCAGAAAGGGAGGTAGCAATGGATCTGAGCTCTCAAAAGAGCTAGGGTTTCAACAAGCACAGAGGGTAGGTAGAAGTAGAGCTATATGTCATCCACTCACTGCACTGAGCCACATTGCCTGATCTAACTGATTCATGCCCCTCTCTACATAGAGCCTGGCTGAATTCAGTTTCTCAGAACTGGTATCTAGGTCATACCACTTAGATCCCACAAAACTACAGAGCACTTAAGAGTAATTGCAAGACAAATACTGTCCCCACTCAGCTCTAATTGTCTTTATGATGGTTTAGGGTGGGGACAAAAAAAGATGGGGTTGGGGGGACAAAGAGAGCTGAAATCCAGCCTGGTCTTTGAAGAGTAGAACCAAATGATGCACTTCTGTCTCCAGTATGTTATTTTTTTATGGGTGCATATTAGTTATACCAAAGGGCAGATTACATGGTGGCACATTTATACATACATAAAAGCATAATGAAGCATGCTATTCTAAGGAGCAAAAGATTCTGTGGAAGGATCTCACTTGTTCACATGGCATCTGTCTAATAAATGTTCCATCTTCAGGAGCCACTGGATGCTTCCCCAGCTGGTGCTGCGCTGCCATCATACTCCAGCTGTGGTAAAGTGGGGCAGGAAGCACAACACATCCAGGAGAAAGAACATCATAGGGAAAACCTAGCCTTTGGTCCCAGTTCTGCCACTCACTGGCATCAGGGCAAGTAGCTCAGTTTCCCCAAGTCTCAGTTGCTTCTGAGAATTAAAATTACAGATTGCACTCACCACCCAGTGCAGTTGAGAGAACAAGAAGTGAGATCCTGGAGGTGAGAAGAGCTCCATAAGTTCCAAGAATTGAGGTGGGTATGAAGCACTATTCCTATGATCCACATGAGATTCACCTTATGCCTACTATTTCCGGCAATGTCAAAGCCTATGCATAGACTTCCTGGTGGATGCTCAACTGCCAAGGAACAGAGAGGATCACAGAATAAGTTCTCTAGGTAGGCATTTAAAGATCATTTCTCTTGGTGTTTTCTCTCTTTCCTCTCCTCTATGATAGTCTTTATAAGTTTTTCTCCTTGATCCTCTCCTTCAATCCTAGTGTCAGTGAGAAAGAATACAGGAAGTCCTGGTTGATTAGACATCCTCCACTCCTGCCATTTTCCAGAGGGGGTCAGAGTGACATGTGGATGATCACACAGCTAGTTCTCTCTCTGGCCTCAGCAGGCTCTTCTCTTACTTACTGCTGGGGCTGGCAGACAGGGAGGGAGGAGCACAAGTATGTAGATACTGATCAGGTAGGAGCCAGATCCACCTCATCCCAGGTCCTCCCCATGGTTGATCTTGCAGAGAAGGATCAGTATGTATCAGCAAGGGTATCTGAGTACTTTCTACAAGAAAATTATCTCCTACCCCAAGCTACATCTTCTTCCTAGGAGCCTTTGGGAAAGAAAAGCTCAATGACAATGCATAGATACTAGTGACTTTTTTTTTTTTTTTTTTTTTTTTTTTTTTTAGGCAAATAGGAACACACAAGCAGGTCACCAAATGAGCAATTTAATCAGCATGAATTTCTTCTTCTCTTGATTTCCAACAGTACATGGCATATGCCACCAGCATCACAACAATTATGGTTAGTTTTCTGTCCCGATACACATCTGTCTACCCTCTTCAAAAAGAGGGTACTCATCTTAAACATTCTTTTAGGACTAGCACAGTAAAATGCTAAGTAGGTACTCAAGAAATATTTGATGGATGGGCAAATGAATAAGCAAATAAATAGCTAACTTACTCTGTTTTCCTTCAAAGCCTTAAGAGGCCTTGCAGACATGTCACAAAGGGAGAAACAATAAGCCCCTCTTGGATTTTGACAGGGGACTAAATTCAGCCCAAAGCATCTTTTTCCCTCTCTATTTACTGTGGACAATCTGTCCCTTATCAGATGAGCTCAGGGCTGGTGGGAAATATGCATATTTTATTTGAAAATATCTGCTTTTGTTTTGCTGCAGACATTTGTCTGCTTTGCTGTATGTTGTGCATCAGATAGGACTCAGACAAACTGCTTTGGCTTTCTAAATTGTTTTGTTTTCTCCATTCAGTCAGCATTTATCTCATTTCCCTTCCCACATCTCACTCTTATTCCCAAGCTCCAATTGAATTCACAATGAAAAAGAATAATTTCATTGTTACTCAGCTTCACTGGGGATTAGAAAGGGCACAGGCATGGTAGTTAGGCAGCCTCAGATAGAGTCCTCATTCTACCACTGACAAGCACAGTGACCTTCAGCAAATCACCTCTACTATCTTGACCTCTGTTTCTCCTTTGCAAAGCAGGGTCTGTTGTTGACTCCCACAGAAGCTAAGCCTAATATCTTGAGATGATCTGGGCACCAAACTACAGTAATAGTTGCACTATTGTTCACACACAGTGCAGATGTTCCATTCAGGGCTTTGGTAAGAGAAGGCATCTTTTGGCCTGGTGAGGCCATGCCTTACTCTCATCTGTAGGTCCCAATCTCATTCCCTGACCCACTTTCATCCAGAATGACTCCATAGGCATCTGCTTGTTCAGTGGCACAGGACCTGCCTAGAGAAGGGCTCTGTGTTTGCTTTTCTCTGCTGTCACCCTCTTGAAGTTCTTAAATGCATTTTTTTGTTGTTGTTCTGAGCCTTGCAAACTATGTCGCAGGTCCTATCCCTGCTCTTACTCCTCTATGTCCCCAAGGTAACAGAAAACGAAGGAGCAGGATGAAGAGAACAATGTCATAACTTTGCCAGTCATTAATGGCAGAGAAGGGCTCCCCACAAGGCAGAGCCTTGTTTTGGAATGCCCTTTCGTAAAAATATAATTCCTAACAAAACACACAGAGGCAGAGCATGTGCCATGGGCTCCACCAAAATCAACCTTCCCCAACTTGAGTAGATTAGAAATCTGACTCATGGCCAGGATGTGGCTCACCTTTCCTGCTAAGCACCTGGGCTCCTCCCTATTCCTAAGGCTCAGGAGAAAAAGAGGGTTACCCCAGAGTGACTGTCACTATTCATCATCACAGAGCTAGACAGGATCTTAGAGCTCACCTTGGGCTGCCCTCACAGCTCATCTTAATTAACAAAAACTGCACTGCAGACTGGAGAACAGACAGAGCCAAGTTCACACACTAAACATGACAGCTCCTGTGCCCCTCTCGGCATGAATTCTCTTTTGAATTACTTCCTCCTTTCTATATCTCTGGGATCAACAAGGAAGAAATGATTTCCCTGTAACACCAATAACATAGTTCCATGTCCAATATAGTGACAAGAAGATCCTGATGCTCACTATACATGGTCAAATTAAGCTGAAAATGACCCTGATATTTTAAAACCACAGCAAGATGAAAAGATTACCACTAGCTCTTTCTCCTATGAAAAGTTCTCCTCATAGGCCTAAGTCACATGTCACAGGAGGAAAGACGTTGAAAGAGAGAAGTGAACTTGACAAGTTTTAAACATGTAAATAAACAGTATGTGATAAACAACAATGCAGGTAAGCTCTTGAAATACAGACTCCAAGGACCATAGGAGGGGCATTGGTTAGGATCCCAGGTATTAAGCATCTGTTTATGGGTATGGAGAGAAGGAGCTCTCTGGTGGGTAGTATTCTGGCTCCCAGGAGTAGCCCTGGGGCAACAAAGATCCCAACCTCAAGAGACTTAATAATTTAGACTAAACTAATCCTATAAGCCAAGTCATCTAAATTTACATTTGAAGACATTGTATGTTCTGTTTTGTTGAGATGTCTGAAAAATGAAGGGATGTGGTAGACTCTAAGGCCAAGGCCACATTACTAAGTGGCTGGAATTTAAGACCAAGACATTTATACTTAATTTTCAACTTCATGATATGACCAGGTTTGTTTGCAAACATCCCACATCACAGAGGGGAAAAAAAGGAGGTGATCCTTTTGTCTGATTTAGCCCCTGACCAGCCATATCCCTGCTTCTACCTCCCCAGCATAAAGAGTTTTGCACATCAATAACACTCTATGATCATCTGAATCAAATACAGGCCCACAGATGGTGACCTATGACTCCAGTCTGAGCCTGGACCTTTATACCAGTGTAAGATACAGGAAAAAAAAAATTTCTCCCTGAAGATGGCATTTGATGTACAGGCAATTCCTGGACCACTTGTATGAGAACCCCATGCTAAAATGCATATTCCCAGTTCTCATTCTTGATTTACTAGATTAAAATCTCTGGAAGTAGGGTCAGAAAATTTCTTAAGAAGGCCTGCCAGAAGACTTTTATTTTAAAAAAGTAAAAAAGTTTGAGAACCAGAGGGTTACACCTTTTCAATGTGCAGTGATAGTCACTCAGAGATCTCTAATCCAGAAAAACCTAAACAAAAACCCAGA